TGATGAAATTAAGGTAAGCTTCAAGGGTATTAAATTAATTGCTTCAAAATCAGTAATTTTTTTTTTTTTAAGTTTTTATTTTATTTTATTTTATTTTTTTATTTTATTTTTTTTAATATGTATATTTTATTTATTTATTTATTTTGTTACAGATATTTTACCTTTTTACCCCATTGGCACCCCCCCCACCCTAACCCCCCTCCACCCTGTCCCCGGCTTAGTTGTCCATGTCCATTGGTCATGCATACATGCATACAAGTTCTGTGGTTTATCTCTTCCCACCCCCCACCCCCCACCCCCTCTTCTGAGGGATGTCAGTCTGTGCCCTACTTCCATGTGTCTGGGTCTACTGTATTCCTCAGACTGTTATGTTCATTATATTCCGTATATAAGTGAGATCATGTGGTATTTGTCTTTTTCTGCTTGGCTTCTTTCACTTAGGATAATACTTTCCAGGTCCCTCCATGTCGTCTCAAAGGATAAGAGATCTTTCTTTCTTACCGCTGCATAGTACTCCATTGTGTATATGTACCACAGCTTTTTTATCCATTCGTCTACTGGTGGACACTTGGGCTGTTTCCAGATCTTAGCTATTGTAAATAGTGCTGCTATGAACATGGGGGTACATATATTCTTCCTGATTTGTGTTTCAGGCTTCTTAGGGTATATTCCCAGCAGTGGGATCACTGGGTCAAATGGAAGTTCAATTTTTAATTTTTTGAGGTAGCACCATATTGTTTTCCATAGCGGTTGCACCAGTCTGCATTCCCACCAGCAGTGTATTAGAGTCCCCTTTTCTCCACACCCTTGCCAACACTTGTTGTTTGATGATTTGTTGATGGCGGCCATTCTGACAGGTGTGAGGTGATACCTCATTGTTGTTTTAATTTGCATCTCTCTGATGATTAGTGATGTTGAGCATTTCTTCATATGTCTCTTGGCCATTTGTATGTCCTGTTTGGAGAGGTGTCTATTCAGCTCCTCTGCCCATTTTTTAATTGGGTTCTTTGTCTTCCTTTTGTGGAGTTGTATGAGCACTCTATATATATTGGAAATTAACCCCTTATCTGATACATCATTGGCAATGATGTTCTCCCATACAGTGGGTTCCCTTTCCATTTTGATGATTGTTTCCTTTGCTGTGCAGAAGCTTTTTAGTTTGATGTAGTCCCATGTGTTCATTTTCTCCTTTATTTCTGTTGCCTTAGGTGATGTATCAGTGAAAATTCTGCTCCGTATGATGTCCGAAATTTTGTTGCCTACATTTTCTTCGAGAATTTTTATGGATTCACGGGTCACATTTAAGTCTTTTATCCATTTTGAGTTTATTTTTGTGTATGGTGTAAGTTGATGGTCTAGTTTCATTTTTTTTGAGAGGAGACAGAGAATTGGATGAAAGATGTGAATAGTTTTAAGATCCTGGATGTGGGATGGAATAGACTTTTGTGCATTGCAGGGCTGTGGTAAAGGGACTGAGAAATGGGGCAAGTCTTCCCATTTTAAGTAGTACTCATGGCTGGTTAGGAATTCCACTACCTAAAAGATTGAAGCATTCCTTACATACATTATCTCCCATGGCCATCTATATGTTGCTAATAACTCTGAAATCTCAGTCAGATTTCCAGGCCCATATACATATCCTATTAGGTTTTCTGTTTTAATGTCCTTCAGACACACAGAAACAAACTACACCTGCTGTCTTCACCCCTTCATCTATTCCTCTTATCTAAGTGCTCTCCTCAGTACACAGTAATTAACCACTAGCCTAGCCGGAAACCTGGAATTCACCTTGTCTCCCTTTTCCCCTCATGCTGAACAATCATTACCAATTCTTATCTATATTCTCTTATAAATACCTCTCAAATCCATTTGTTCCTATTTCCACTCTTCCCTGTTTAGGCTGTCACCGCCTCTCCTGAGAACAGTCACATCCTTCTCTACCGGGAAACTTCCCACATCCACCAGTCCATTCTCCACTCCATGGTCAGAGTGGTCCTCCTGAGACTCAGATAGGATCATAATTATTCTTCACTTGAAAAGCAGTCAATGGTTCTCCAATACCCTCAGGATAACTCTTCAAGTATGTTGTAAGTATCATGAGACTTGGTAGAAACTGGCCCTTACCTATCTACTTCTCCAGCTTCATTTATAGGTCCTCCACCCTCTCACCTGCTCCCCACCCTCACCCTCAACACACACACACACACACACACACACACACACACACACACACACACACACACACACAGTGTACATATGAATTCCAGCTGGGGTGAACTACTTGTTTTCCAGAATACAATTATTTCTCTTGACCCTGGATCTTTGCCTTAATTCAGCTCATACTAGCATCCACTCTCCTCCTCCCTGAGCACTTGTTTTGCTGGGCCAAGTTCTGCTTATGGTTCATTTTTTAATTTTTATTTTATTTTTTTCCATCACCATTTATCCCCTCATACCCTTTTCCACCTCCCCACCCTTCCTCCACAATCACTACACTGTTGTCTATGTCCATGAGTTCTCTCTCTTTTTTTTCTTTTTTTGCTCAGTCTATCCATTCCCCAACAGCACCCCTCCCAGAGCTGTCTGCCTGCTCTCTATCTATGAGTTTGTTTATTTTGCTAGGTAGTTCAGTTTATTCATTAAATTTCACATATGAGTGAAATTATATGGTACTTGTCTTTCTCTGACTGGCTTATTTCACTTAGCATAATGTTCTCCAGGTCCATCAAAGGGTAAATTTTCTTCCTTTTTACATCAGAGTAATATTCCATTGTGTAAATGTACCACAGCTTTTTATCCACTCATTTGCTGATGGACAGACACTTGGTCTGTTTCCAAATCTTTGCTAATGTAAATAATGCTGCAATAAACATAGGGGCACATATATTCTTTTTAATTAGTGTTTTGGGTTTCTTTGGATATATTCCCAGAAGTGGAATCACTGGGTCATAAGGCAGTTTAATTTTTAATTTTAATCTTTTGAGGTAATTCCATACTACTTTCCACAGTGGCTACACCAATTTACATTCCCACCAGCAGTGCACAAAGGTTCCTTTTCCTACTGGGAGAACATATTCACCAATAATACATGTGATAAAGGGTCAACAACCAAAATGTATAAAGAACTTATAAAACTCAACACCAAAAACCAAACAATCCAAAAAACATATAAAAAGATGCTCAGTGTCACTAGTCACCAGAGCAATGCAAATTAAAACCACAATGAGATATCACCTCATGCCTGTCAGATGGTTATCATCAATAAATCTGCTTATGCTTTAGATGTCAGCTTAGTTGCAATTTATTCGATTGTTCCCTGTCCTCCAAATTTACTCTGTATGGTCCTGTAACATCTTGTGCTCCTCCCCCCAAAGCACTTTCACACTATAATTATTATTATTTTACATTGTTATAATTGCATATTCATCTTTTTGTATCTTGATTAAAGATGTAAGTGCCACGAGGACAGGGACTGTGTCTGTATTCACTAGTATATCTGCAGTGCCCTGCACAGTCCTCAAAAATATATATAAAATTTTCTTAAAGAATCCCCATCAATAAATAAACACCTGGTGAAATACTGGAATATAGATTATGTACGCTCTGAAGTCCACATGCTTTTTTGAGTAGCTGTTAATTTTCAACTTGGACTAACAAAGTCTCAGAAACTTCATAATACATTTATAGTATTGAGTATTTAGTGTGCTTAATATTCTTCTTCTCTTACATGCTGTAACTATAACAACTTATACTCACCTACCATAGATTCCCACTAGAATTAGATTGGAAGAACATTATGGCAGAACCTCTCTTCTAAGACAATTTCTATGTATTAAAATTTAGCTGATGTAGCTACTAAGAAACCAGGTCTTACAAAAGAATAAGTGGAGTCAATTTTCCCAAACAACGTTGGCTTATTTTTCCAAGACAGAACAAATTGGGTGAAAGAGAGGATTGAAGGTCATCTCTTTTGGAAATAACATATAGAGAAAAAGGAGTTTTCCAGTTTTCTAAATGATTTCACCATGAGGTCTTGGGCCACTTGATAATCTCTGTAATTTCTAACAAATGTAAAATGTTTTTGTGGAATTACAGTATTTAAGAGGACCTTTGGAGGTTATCTGGCCCTTTCTGACAATTGCAATCAGGATATCTATCTGTTGCCAGTCACCTTTCTAAAACCCAGCACTGATTATAACACTTTTTCAAGCAAAAATGCTGCTGCTTACTCCAATGGCTACAGAAATAAAATGCAATCTCATTAACATGGCTCACAAGACCCTATGTTATACAATCCCACCTTTGCTGAGAATTCATCTTTCCTGAGTTCCTCCGAGTATCTCACATTCCAGTCATGCTGTATAACTCACCATTCTCCAAACATACCTTGCTCTTCCAAGCTGCCACATTTTTGCCTTCTTCTGCTTTGTGCCTGTATTCCCTTCTTCATTAACCATCTTTGCCTAATGCAATTTTATTCATCCTTCAGTGCTCAGCATCCCAGCATCAGAAATTCTGGAATTGCTAATGGGGCTCAGTTATGAAAGGCTCTAAGCATCTGACCAAGGCAGTTGAACTTTATTCCAAAAGCAATGAGGCAGAGGGATTCTGAGTGGATGGATGGTACATACAAAGTTGTGGTCACTGAACAAGTTATAACAAACCAACAGTGCCAAGGACCAGAAAATTGTAAGGAAAAGCATCACCTTCAAGTTTCCTCGACATGTTTCTGGGAGATGTTTCAAGTTTCCTGAAGATGGACTCCAGGTACTCCCATTCTTTCCTCCTGGTCTGATATTCATTACTCTTTTTTAAAATTGATTTGGGGGTGGGGGGAGAAAGACAAAGAGACACTGATTTATTCTTCTATTTATTTATGAATTTATTGGTAGTTTCTTGTATGTGACCTGACTCGGAATCGAACTTGCATCCTTGACATCTCAGGATGTCACTCTATCCACTTGAACTACTGGGCCAGGAGTGATATTCTCAACTCTTACCATGGTGTTGTGCTTTCTGCACTGCTGGCCAGTTGTAAACTTCTATTGGACACACCAGTACAGACAAACAAATAGAAAGACATGTCCTTTTCATCCTCAGGCCCTTGTGTCAGCTTTGATTTCTCAGGTTGCCATACTGATGACATCTGCCGAGATTTCCCTTCAGCCATCTGTAAACCACCTTCATGCTGAAGACAAAAATCAGAAGGAAGGCATGATTACTCAATACTACAGCAATTTAAAAAATTCAAGCAATCTTTCTAGTTCATTTATGTCATCTTAAAGTTTCTGTAAATGGCAAAATAGAAAAGTTAAAAGATAAAGTCACTTGAAAAAGTTCAGCTTAAACTTGAAAATCCCTTGTGCTTGCAGTCAGAGGCACCGTGAGAAATGGAAGCAAGTAATTTGCAGTTGACAACATAATAAAAACTACTTAATGAGAAGAACATGAAATGGGTACATGTGTATTAAATGGATACAAAATCCATAATTTGGTGGTGATACAAAATCTATTTAAATTTAAAACTGAGGCTTTATAAAAGAAAAAACATTTTAATTAAGAGAATTGCTTTCTTTCTCTTTCTTTTTTTCTTTTATTGATTTTAGAGAAAGAGGAAGTGAGAGGGAGAGACAGATAGAAACATCAATGAGAGAGAACATAAATTAGCTTCCTTCTGCATGCCCCACACTGGGGATTGGGCCCACAACCTGGGCATGTGTCCTGACCAGGAATCGCACCGGTACCACTTAGTGCATGGGTCGACACTCAACCACTGAGCCATACCAGCAGGACAAAATAACTGCTTTCAAGAGATCCAAATTGTTTTACAGTTCAAGTAGTCTACAAAAATAAATTCATCCTAAATGGACAGATTTTGCTCCTGCCATGTGGTTTGTAATCACTTCAGAATTTCCCATCGTTCTTCCTGGCCTGTCTTCTCTTTGCACATATCAGAGCTATCTGTTGTAAGGGAAAAGATGCTTGTCTTCTCATACAAGAGCTAAGAACATCCTTCTTGTCTTTTTGCATCAATTACCTCCACCTGGGAAAGAAATAATTTTTTTGTTAGCTTCCTCGGGATGCTAAATACAACTTTTAAAAAAGTTAAGAAAAAGAAAGACAATGCTTAATTTAATCTAACAGCCATATAGTTACTGACTTCCCCACACTGCCATCTTCCCCAAATAATGGGTGGTTCAGTTGAATCTAGTTGGGTTTTTTAGGAACTTGTTTGTGCATGTAGACCGCGCATGAGAAAACTTCTTGAGATTGTAATTTTTAATAAGTGATTTACAGTTTAGATTGTACTTCACCACCCCTCATTCCTAGACCCCACAAAGATTAGCAGGTTTGCCTGCACATTTATTTTTTTTATTTTTGAAGAATTGCATTTTTTTTTATTTTTAAATGTTATAATTTCATGTGTCTTTTATTATTGCAAGCAACCCCAATGTTATCAGTAAGTTATATGTGCATGTTGGAAAGCTGAAAAATAGTAGCATCTCACTCAGCAACCTCTTAGAAGGTTTCCAAATGGAGAGTCTTGGCTTTGTCTGGGAGGTGTAGGTGACAGCCCGAGTGGTTATAGGTGGATGCCATAAGATTTTCTGCTTCTTGATTTCTCACCCTGTTATGGCTTGCTTGAGACCACCAGTGGTTAAAACCAACTTCCTGAAAGCATTCAAAGAATATCTCAGTAGGTTAATACCCACCACTTGATGGGAGAAGGCAACAGAGAGGAGATTGAGGAAGAAAGAAGGCTTGTCTTTGAGAATGTGGTTTGACAGTTGGCAGGGAGCTTCCTGCTGCAGAGGGAGTCACGACCTGGCTCTGCTTCATGTTAGCGAGCCATGGTCAAAGTTTGTCAAAACAAAGCACACACAACATCCTAATGCCAAACGGGCAGAAGCTCTGGCCTGCTGCAAATTAAATTATTAGGAATTCCTTTGGAGAAAGAGTTACAGCCCTTGAGCTCTCTGTGGCTAAGCAAATGCAGATGTCTAAGTGTGCAGTTGGTATTTCCCTAAGCCACAGCTTAGAGCATGGCGCTCCCTTTGCAAAGTCCTTTAAGGCTGCCACCCTCCTAGAACAGAGTATTAAATCTTCAACCTTCATTTTAAAAGTTTCTCCAATATTGTTCTATGTATTTTTCCAATCTCAAGTCATAATATTCCAAATATGCCAGGCATCCTAGTGGCTATGGGCCTTTGCTCAAGCAGTACCTCTCCTGGAATGCACCTCCTTCCCCCTAGATCACCTCTAATGGAAGATCTACTTTTCCTTCCAGGTCCAGCTCAATGCCAGGTTTTCGCCTTATATAATTGGTCTCTTCCTCTTACTTTGTTTGAAATGCATTTTCAATATCATTTTCAGGGACAGTTGAAAGTTCAGACTTTTATATCAAATGCGTCTGGGTTCTTCTCCCAGCTCTGCATCTTACTGTAATATTAATCTTTCCTAAATCTCAATTTTCTCCTCTGATAGATAGGAATTATTCTAAAATAGGTTAGTTATGAGAATTAAATCAGAAATTATCAGGAGGAAAGAAGAATAGTGCCTGGCACCATGTATAAGTTTGCTAATGTTTTTGCTTCTCTCAATAGACTGTGCTGGTAGGGCAGTATCTTACTTGACATGTATTCTCAAAAGCACTGTGATTTCCACTTGGTTTGTGCTGAATAACCTTTTATTGAATTAAGATATTTATTGATCAGATTTACATTATTGATACTGTTATAATTGGCTATTTATTAATAATAGGAAAGGAGTAAAGGGGGAAGCTGGACATTACAGGCATGTCATTTGGGCAACTTCACCAGGAAGCTGAAACTTTGTAATCCCTAGGGAACCACTGGCCTATTCACTACAAAACAGTGGGGGAAGGGGCCCAACAAAGAAGGAAGATAGGCACATGCCCAGTAAAGTTAGGGTGACACAGGGAAGGTACTTGCCTTGTCAATCACACCTGGGAACAGAGATCATCGGCCAGAATGAGCATGACCACAGCAAGTACTTGAAAATTTTGGAATACATAGTTCTTAAACAAAGGAATGCTCTATTGTCTCTCTTGTGCCCTTGGCTCACTCTTGTATTCCCTTCATTCACCCATGTTTCCTCCATAGCTATGTGACCTTGCAGACACCACATGCAATGGACTGATGGACGGTAGCTGGGAAATCCAAACTAAGCCAGCCTATGCTGTAGTGGACTGTGCAGACATTGAAAGGAAACTCTGGATACTGGCTCTGATTCTAGCTCCATCTAAGCCCCAGCTAAACTTCTCCTATGACTAGACTAAGAGAAATGGGACTTTGGAAACTCAAGGATTTGATTTCACAGAAATAAAGCTTTCTACAATATCTCATTTTTTCCAGGAAGTCTCAGAAAATTCTTTTCTCAGGATATTTCAAGAAGCCCACTCCCACTAGCAACAGCTAGGGATGAGGACCTCTCCCCATCATTAAAATTATGAAGCCAGAAAAATCACATCAAACAAGGCAAATGTGGGAGGTGTCTATGGAGAGGTCCCTCCTAAATTTGGTTTGGTTCAAGCCCACTGTAACAGCCCTTCAGGCAGAGCTCCTGAAGGCATCAGGCCTTGATCCTTCTTTCTTTGCCCCAAAAGTAGGCAAACACCAGCTTGCTTACTGTCATAACCAAGAAAAAAAATTAACAAATCCCAAATAGCCCTCTAAAGTTAATTATATTATTTTTTTCTTAAAGCTTAACAGGAAAAAAAGTTATAAAGATATGAAGAGATGATCTAGATGCTAGAGCAGTGGTCTCCAACTTTTAGTCTTGAGATCTCTTTCTATCCTAATAATTATTGAGGATCTCCAAAAGCTTTTGTTTATGTAGGCTGTATATAGCTATATTTTATTGTATTAGAAACTAAAGCAGAACATTTTAACATATTTATTAATTTATTTTAAATATGTTAATAGACACTACAAATTAACATAAGTAATATATATTATGAAAATAATTTCATTTTCTAAGACAGATCAACAAGTTAATGAAAAGCATAGCTTTTATTTTTTAAACATCTTTGCAAATCTTGTTAATGTCTGGTTTCATAGAGAACAGCTAGATTCCCATATCTGGTTTTGCAGTTGATTGGTTGTTATGTTATTTTGGTTAAAATATATGAAGGAACTTGGTCTCATATAGACAAAGGGAAGACTCAACTAGGGGTGGCTCTTAAAGGTTGGTTGCAGTGTGGAAACTGAACCATAGAATGAAACTTTCCTACCCTGTTATATTCAAATCCACTGGTCAGTCTTGCATTTTAAAGCCATCTTTTACCATGCATGCTTTTATTACATCATTCATTGATCATTTGGAAAATATTGATTCACTGAGTTATGCAGACTTTTAAAGGGCTAATACATTTTACCATACAATATATAAAGCTCCCATTTGTTAATATCACCATCAACTTCATCAGAAAAGATTGGGAAACTGCAAGTTCATTGTGAAAGATATATTTCTAATTTTTGCTTAAAAGTTTAAAATTTATCATTGGCAATGTGTGCTATCAATTGTGTCCCTTGAAATGACAAACTTGGTTGGATTATTTTGAGAAAATACGCAAGTCTGAATAACCATAGTTTGTCTATCAATCATTCTTCCAGTAAAAATGGTATTTCATGGGGGAAAAAAAGCCAGTTTTATTAACTCAGCAAATAATTACACAAGCACTTTACCTTGAGACAACTATTATATTTTGGTGTGTAACAGAATTCTTTTATGTCTAGTTCTCATTTCACAACACAGAATAATGAAGAGATGAGAACTCAAGCGGTTAATTATTTTAAAATAATTATTAATTTTAACAAATTAATAATTATTTTATGAATTATAATTTTATTATACATTCATTCATTTTAGCAATTTATGGATCTAAATAACTTGTACTGCCTCATCAAAGTCATTCTCGAGTCATCCGGCATGCTCTCCTGACTGAGTGGATGGTAGTGGAGAACAGTGGCCCTGATGCACTCTGGATGGTGGTCAGCAGACGTGAGGACCAGAAGCTAAGGAAGGCAGCCATAACTCAAAATATATTTTAAAGGAACATTTATAAGTAAAAATAAATTTCTTCCTGCTACATGGGCATAGCACAGACTTTTATTCCCCCTCTTTCTTAAGTTTCTTCCTAAGAGAACATGTTCTGTTCCTTTAGGACAGGATTCAAATTAAAGTGAGAGTTTCAGGTTTTCTCTACAGTACTTCTGCAGGGCCTGTGCCATCTGATATTTTACTTTAAATTTGGTCACTCTGCAAGGGACAAGAGCTGGGAATCAGAATGCATACTTAATCCCGAAGCAAGATCATTAAAACTTTTCAATAAATTTCAGAAGATTGTGTCTGTCAGCTCTAACACTCCTTTAAAATCGAAATATTGAAAACAAATATGTTATAATGTTTAATTTACTAATTCAATTAATAAAATCTCTTTTTACTTATTAATTTGTTGTTTGCAGTACAGTACGTGCTTTATCAAGTGACATTGGGCTTGTTAGAGACAGTGATAAGTCTGATGAATTTATGAAAGGACTGAGAACAGCAAGAAATCACAGGTCACTCTCTGTTCAAAAAAAGCAAAAACCTAGAAGGTGGCTTTCTTGGGCAATTTTTTAGCCCTTGGCCTTTGCCAACTCACCATCAATATTTATGGGACTCTGGTTCATGGGACTCACCAGCACACTGGAAGAGTAGGTTGAACCAGATCATAAAGTAATGCAGAAAGGCAACTAGCTCCCAGTGGGCTTGGGGTTGGACAGATTCCCAAGTCATGCTTACTTGATACATTGTAGGATTCTTGGAGAAATGATACACGAGTGAAATGGTAAATGGGCAATCTAAGTAAATTCAACCTGACCATACACATTTTTCTATTCTAGAAAAGCCTAAGGCATCAATCAGATCTGATCATTTTGTTCTAAGTTAAAAAAAGATATCTTGACGTCTAATAGAAAGCAGTACATTTTCTTTTGTACATGCAGGCCAAATAATATTTGCCATGTATTTTACCCTTGAGCAACAAAGAAGCCACAGTCTATTCTTCTATAGTGAAATTATCTAAATCAGGAGACAGGGCACTTAACAGTTTCATTCTCATGTATCATAAAGAATTAGAGCTTACCTAAGTGAAAAGATGCCCATTGTCCTTGAGCTCTAGATGAATAAAAAGGCCTTGAACATACCCTACCTGCTTCCAATGTCAAGTCCAGTGTAAATCCTTGAGGGATTCATGTTCTCCTGGCTGCTCTGCCTCTTTGATCCCCCACATGTTGGCACTGGCCCTCCACTTACCAACTGATGGGAATCATTGCTTTGCATACATAGGTATACAACACACACCACACCTAACTTTCTATTAGATAGTTGAGAGTTTAATAAAGTCTTCAGGTTCTAGGGCTATGTAGGCCATGATTTCTTTGACTTGACAACAAAATCATGACCCACAAGAAAATTTTGAAAAATGGAATTTTATCAAAACTGAAACATTTGTTCACAAAAGATTCTGTAAAGATGAAAGGACAATCTAGAGTGGGAGAAGACACTTGCAAAGCACATAACTAACAAAGGACTAGTTAGTTATATAACTAGAATATATAAAGAGTTCTCAAAACTAAATGGTGATAAAAGAAACTATACAATTAGATAATGGGCAAAAGAATTTTACTAAAGAGTATATACAAATGGCAAATTATGAAAAGATGTTCAACATCATTAGCCATCAGAGAAAATCAAATTCAATGTAGACTCAGTTGTCTTAGCACTATTGAATAAGCTACCCTTTACCAACTGATTTGAGATTACCATCTTCATCATCCAAAAAAATCATTACATTTACTTGTACTACCTATATCTGGCTTTTTATATAGCTGCCTATTTCCCACCCCTGTATCTAAGAGTCACCATCATAAAACATTTAAGAACCAGAAAATATTTACAGTGGAAATTACAATCACCTACCATTGCTATCCATGCACTCACTAGCTGGGTCACTTTTGGCAAGTAAAATTCTCTGAACTTCAGTTTCTCTGTAAAATGGAACCAAAATACCATTCTGTGTTATATTAGCATGCCAAGATCCTCCCCCTTCAAAAGCCAATTGCTTTAGGATTTTGTAAGAAGTTTTGCTTACTTGGTCTAGCCCTTTGTGCACCAGAATTTTGTTTACGTATTTAAAAAAAAAATTTTTTTATTTTGAGATTATTTAAATTTACAGATTTATAAAAATATTACACAGAGTTCCTATATATCCTTGACTCAGCTCCTTTTTACATTAATATTTCATGTTTCCATAGTGAAATTATTAAAACTAAGTAACTGCCTTGGTACAATACTAATAAATAAACTATAGACTTTATTAAGATTTCACCAGCTTTTTCCATTGAGGTTCATCTGCAGCTCCATGATTTAATACATGACTTTGTGTTTCATTAGTGGTCAGTCTCCTTAGTCGTCTTCAACCTTTGACAGTTCCTCAGTGTTTTCTAGTCTTTCATGATCTTGACACTTTTGAAGAGTACTGCTCAGCCATTTTCATAACAGTCTTTTTCTCTTCAAATAAAGTTCCTTTAAACCAGGAACAGATCATTGTCTTCCATTTTCTCAGTGGATGACTGGTCAACACACAGGACTGAAAAGTGCCCCCTTGACACTGGTGCTTCTTACTGAAGAAGATGGGATTTCAGGATCCCAACTCGTATTATTCGTGCACTTTGGTTCCTAAATGTCAAAATGAAAGGCAGGTTAAAAAGCCTCAAGTTGTTCCCTAAAGTTAAAAAGAAAAGGAGAAGGAAAGTGATGTAAGCCTCTGCCCCATCCCCCAACTGGAAAGGCTTGGCCTATCTTGGAACCACGAAAGTCAGAGTGAAACCTCCACACTTTCCTTAATTTCACACATTATGCGGTTACTGTTAGCACATGTGCTTCCAATCACCTCCTGTCTCGAGAACAGTGCACATGTGGGTGCTAAGAGAATTGAACCTGCCAAACATATTTGACATCACAATGCCCTTGAAAGAGCTATCAGCTAAACCCAGATATTTATGTACATCTCAGCAGTTCTATTTTATTAAACTCACAACATTTCCACCCAATTTAAACTCACTGTGATAGCATACGTTGTGACAGATTTGGGTGGTGGTTTCCTTTCCAGTTGGCTCCAAAAATATCATATTAATCCAGACCGCAATCACATGCCAAGTCCATGATTAGCTTTCCCTTTACACTTGGGTCTCTTTTGTTGTTTTGAGCAGATATGCAGCACTGGATACAACCATGTAGGGATGGAGTAAGAATAAGACCTGTAAAAAGAATGTGACAATGGCTGTGAAAATCCATTTTAAGAGCAGCAACTCTTGTTACTTTAAATGCTAGCTATGATTTTCCAGCTAAGGGCTGTATTTCTGTAATAGCAATTGCTAACTGGTAGCCCCTGGGCCAAATATGCTTCACAGATGTGTTCTATTTGGTCAGTTCAATGTTATAAAAGCATCTGAATTTGTGGCCAACATTTATATATTAAGAGATTCTACACAAAATCTGGATTTCTGGATTCTCATGAAAAACTTGACCCTACTTTTCCACATGGCAACGACGGGCTGGGGTTGAAGAGCGGCTGGCTCCAGGAGACTGGCCGTGCACCATCTGGTTAGCATAATCTATGTCCAGCTCACTTCTTCTACTTACGTAACTTGCCTCATTTCTGTGGGCATTTGGATTTTCAACACTGGTTTATAATCAAGGATAAGAGAAATACGATTATTTAGGCTCTGGTTCTACCAAGGTGAGAAAAACTGTGGTGAGAAAAGATGTGGTGTGTCAGTGTGTAGACCTTGAGATAAGGATAAATGTGAGTAATTTATTAGGGAGATGCTCCAAGGAAACCCTGGCAGGATAGTGGGAAAGTGAATTGGAGAAGAATAGGTGACCAATACAAAATGCATTGTTAATTAAGTAACTTGTGTGATCATTTGGAGCTTAATCTTCCTGGGGAGTTCTGGAAGACAGCATAATAAATGAGCCTCAGATTTAACCCAACCAAGAGGCAAAAAAGCAGTTATTCCCATCAGTTATTGATTGATGGTTGCTCCCAGAAGCATATCTAGTTTGCTATTCTTATGGGCAGATCATGCCTGGAGGTTAGAGAAAACCCTCAGGAAAAGAAAGGCAGATGCCAAAAATTGGAAATTAGAGCCATGCAAATCCTAAGAGAATATGTGCAGGGTACCAGCTGCATCAGCAGCACTGTGGTTCTAAGGTGAACTCGAAGTGATCATTTTGTTTCACAGAATAGAGAAGGCTGACCAACAACACAGTTTCTCCCCCTCATGAGAACTGCTCATCCTTTGAACCAATTCCAAAAGTTCTTCAAATTGGCTTTCAGTTCCTGCTGCTTGTTCTTAGCCCTTGGGTAAAAGGTTGCATCAATCAAACCATCCAAATCAGGACAGGTAAGAAGATACTAGGATAGACTGTCTTTTGAAGTTGACATGGGCGTTGGTATCCTAATTCTCTGTTTATATTCATTTATTCCAAAGCAAGTGCACTTGAGCACTTTCCATAGTTAGCCCATGATCAGAATCCAGATGTGAATAGGCCACAGTCATATTTTTATTGCTAACAATAGGGAACCATATGAGAATTAGGTGTAACTCAAACATGTGCCTGGTGTATGTGAAGACTTTAGTTATATCGTTGTTTACTTTGGTGAGAATCCTGAGAATGTCTAAGCATCATGAGGTGTTTATAGTGACCTGGAATTAGAGAGCACAACATTATAAATTATGCAACTATATACCCTGAGTTTCATTCATTAATTGATCTAATCTTGCTGGTATGATGTCTGGCAATACTCAGTTACCCAATGGAAAGTGACCTGTAATCTCCTAAAAGGCAGGAGTAATATCATCAGTGCTTGGGCAGAATCTGCCTGCACATAGTAGGTGTTTGCTGAGTCCCATGACACATTCTTTGTTGCTTGGCACAACTAAATGCTCAATAACTGTATGTTCTTGCCATGTTTTCCTTCCTTCCTTCCTTCCTTCCTTCCTTCCTTCCTTCCTTCCTTCCTTCCTTCCTTCCTCCCTCCCTCCCTCCCTCCCTCCCTCCCTTTCCTTTCTTCTCTCTGTGCCTCTGTTCATCAATGAGAAGTGGGATAAGGCTTATAAAAGGACATTGTAGACATAATAAGATATATAAACAGGTAAAATGGGGTGGGAAAGAGCTAATTCCTTGAACATTAGGTATCTAAAAAAGTTTTTTGTTTTTTTGTTTTTTTTTTAATCCAGCATGTTTTCCTGAGCCGGGAAAAGCCTCTTAGTGGTGACAAACCATTTCAAGCCCTGGGTAACGACAATGTTGGGTGTTGACTCTCAGCTCATGAAGGGTTTGCCAACTTGATTTTTTCTATGAGAAATTCTTCCTAATATAATTTTAAGTGGATTGAAATTGGAGTACAGAAAATTATTAAATACTTAATAATTACATTCAAATTCAATTATCAAGAGGAACCCTAAAAAGTCAATCCACAGTGATGATATTGTTGATCATTATTTTGGATAATCAGTCAAGAAGAATATACACATTCAGAAACAGATCATGCAAAACAACTAGAACAGTGATTACAAAGTGGGTATCTTCATTACCACTGTTAATAACACCTTACTCTTCCACTGATCTCCCTCATAGGCCCCCTGCTCCCTGCCTCCACAGCGCTCTCTCTCTCTCTCTCTCTCTCTCTCTCTCTCTCTCTCTCTCTCACACACACACACACACACACACACACACGCACCAGCACTATTTCTTCTGCTACTCTCTTTCTAAATAAACCCAGCATTTTTGGTTGAATCATGCTTTCCTTTGAAATATACGAGGCATAAAATTCCCCTTGGACAGAAGCCAGGCTTCTCCATCTCCCTGAGGTAGAAGCTGTGTCTCTTCCTGAGAGTGTGCTGGGTGGATAGCAGCACAGACATGGGCCCTTCAGTGAGGGTGCCCAAGGAACCCAGGGGAAAGAAGGGGTGTTACCAAATTTTGTCATCATCAGAAAGGCCACAACTCTGAATTACCCTAAATTCACAATAGGAGCAAATCCCACTCCTTTGATAATTCTCATCTACATGATTATTGTAAAGCTCTGAGGACTAGATATTATATTTTTCTCACAACTTTTAAAATTTACAATATGCGGTGGCCTCCAGGCACACGACTTTCAAAAAGCCTAAACGCGCGCGCTTGCGCGCGCACACACACACACACACACACACACTCATCAGGCTTTCTGATATGAGAGAGAGAGAGAGAGAGAACACAGGATTTCTTGCTGAACACAGGATTTCTTGCTGACAACCGTCAGGAAGTCTAGAGTGGATCTCCGTACTGTCAGCAGTCACACAGGAGAGCATCTCAGCATTCCTGGCTGTCGTCAGTCTGCCTCAGGACTCCACTGTGCCTCAGTGTCTGTTTTGTATTTAACTCTGCCCCACATCTAACACCATATGACCTGCGGTGGTTTTGCTGTCAGAGGATGGTTAATATCTGAAAAGGGTGGGTGCCCTTACCAACCACCCTCCAAGGAAGCGTAGAGCTGGGAGGATAACGATTGGCTTCATGGAGAAAACCACACAGACATAAATACCAGAAACTGATATTTAAACCCCAAACCCATAAGGGACCCCATGGTTTCACGCTAGCTGGCCTTGTCTGTTTCCCCTCCTCAGCAAACATATGTTCTCCATGGAACCAGCGCAGCCCATCTGAACCAGTTACTTGTTCTGTAAGAAGTGGGAAGGGGCGGAGAAAGGGAGGAGAAATTTCACATTGCAATTCTGTGTGGGGCTATCAGTGTTAGAAAGCTATGGGTTCTCGTCTGCATAGATGACACCATAAAAGCCAACGGAGCCTCTCTGAGCAATACATCCCTCTGCCCTCAGTGTACTGCGGAGGTGCTGGGCTGGCCCTAGGAGCAGGGAGACCTGGTTTGAATCCCAGTTCCACTACATCATATTGTGTGACCTTGAGAAACATAATTTGCTTCCATTTTCAAATTTCAACCACCCCACTCTGACCACATCTTCCACCTTTCCAGTTCACTGCCTCCATCAATACATTAATTCCATCAACACTTCAGCCCCCATCAGGACATCAAGACCCTTGGTCCATTCATCTACAAGTATAGGTCCCTCACCACCTTCATGGCCTCTTTGTACTCATTAACCATTTTAAAATTCCAAGATCATTTAGTAATTATCCCTTGCATAGATCCCTAATGATCTTGCCTCCCTCTCACTTTGGCAGACTCGTTTGGCTGAACCACAAACCCAGTTAGACTCACCTCTGCCTACTTTCAGTTATCTAACTATCTCACACTTTTTTACTCTTCTCACACCACCCCTCCCATTCTTCATCTTTCCTAAGAAAACAAATCAGAAGAGAGAACTGCCACAGACTCCCACGCCCATCCCCCTTCCTGTATCTCATTTCTGTTACTATGGATGAACCAACCCTCTCTGCTCTCAGCTAAGCAAATCTTGCCACTTATTTCTTTTGTTTGTTTGTTTGTTTTCAAATGAGTTAAGTTTAATTCCAGATGGTATAGAATTCCGAATAGAACAAAGACTGAAGAACACACTTGGGCAGGATTCTGAGCTCGGTTTACTCTGACCTCACAGCTAAGGTTGAAATGGCAGAGTGAGAAGAACTGAAGAGATGAGCCACTGCATGATGATGATGATGATGATGATGATGATGATTATCATTATTTATAAAAGTTTATTCTTAATAGTACAACAGGCTCCAACACAACACTTCATTCTAACTATAGATGGCAAGAGATGTTATGGCAGGGAGTCCAGATGTTAAAAAAGGAATGGAATTAAGGATCACCATTGCCCCAGGCATAAGGAACAGCTCACTTTTTGCAAGATTTCTTAGTTCCACCTGTGGCCCTCAAGTTTCTTCTGCTCCTCTTTCTGCTTCTGCTTGAATGCCTTATCTTCCTCGTGCGTCTCCTTGGCGTGCTTCTTGGGCTGCTTCTGGGACTTCTTGCCACCTTCGCGGCTGGACATGGTGCCCAACGCCCCTTCCCCTGCCACTTATTTCTTTTATGCATCATCAAAGTGCCCCCCCTTTTTTATTTGAACCATTTCCATCCTAGCATACTTATTTTATCCTAGCATCTTATTTTACTAAACCCCCCTTTTTGACATCCCACTGTCCTCTACAGCTATAGCTCCTATTTCTGTTTCCTGTCACAGCAAAACTCTTTACAAGAGCAGTTTACACAGCAGTCACCACCTCTAAATAATTTCTTCCTTGAACCCGCTTCCATCAAGACTTTGCTGCAATGAAAGCATCCTTACTGAGTCCACCAATAACTTCCTTGTTTCTACATGCTGTTGGTGGGTACTCATTATATATTTACTGAATCAGTGGATGAAACATTCTAAACCTCATTTTCTTCATATTTGAAGTGAAATAATACCTACTTCTGAGCTTGATTATGAAAATTAATGAACATACTATAGGCAAAAGATTTAGCAGAAGTCGTGCTGAATTATATATTGAGCAAAGGAATGGTGCTAAATTTTGAAAGTAAATATTTAACTACAAAGTCTATGAAGCTTCTCTCAATGTTGAACCTAAAAGGAAAGGTATTGATCATATAAGGTACCTGCCCCTTGCCCTCATGGAAAGGTTTCTTAGAATTCCTGCAAAAAGGAAGAATTTCATTTTTCTAAGTTGGATATTGAGTATTTCTTTTAATTGATACACTGAAAGATGGAAATTTATATTGTTTGTTAGTGAGATCGTGGGGCTTCTTTCCCAAAAGAGCAGGGGGTAGGGGTCTGGGTAGAAGAAACATCAGCACATTAAGTGTATTAATGAAATACATCCCAAAATATGTGTGAAATCATTTGAAAATAATTAGAATCAGAGAGAGAGAGAGAGAGAGAGAGAGAGAGAGAGAGCGAGAGCCAGAACTGAGCGCCGCGCCTTGTTGGAGATGCTGAAGGGACGGGCTGGCCAAGTCAATCACACAGGCAAGCAGGCCAGGGGAGGCCAGGGGAGGATTCCAGGTAACTCCGTTTCTCTACAAGACCCCATCATACCCTGCTGGAGGAGTGAGAGTGGGGTGGGGAAAGAGAACTGTGCCCAGAGTGAATGGAGAGTGGGGGAGAGAAGGCTGTGTAATTCTTTATACTCCTGGAAAAAGATGTGAGACATTTCCTCTAGAGCGAAATATTTGTCATTTAGTTTCTGACATAGGTGAAATCATTATTAAGCACCGGACATAAAAGTGCCTCCTTCTAGCAGGCTTTCCCTAGAGCCATGTCAGATATAGGTCTGGAAGAGATAGGTTAGAATCGTCTAGATATGTTTTGGTTGTGAACAACGTCAGAATCAAATAGTTTTAGTGATGAGCCAGAGATCCCCACAAACATGCCGACTAGGTCAGCCTCCAGGGAGGCCCTAATTCTGCGCACCCAGCCCTGTCTTGCATGTAAACCATGGGCATTGGGTGGGATTCTCTGAACCTGCAAGCAGATATATGATCTTATGTGGTTATCTCACCTCACGAGAGCAATTATGTTCACTTCTGCTCTCTTTGTAATTTGACCTTTAGGCAAGTAACTTGAGCAGAAGCATGGGGTTGGTGTGGGGGAGGCTGCCTGTAGTGTGTCTCAGAATCAATCCTTTCTCTGTGCTATGCAATCCAGGGCTAAGAGCTAACTCCTCAAGTGTGAGCGGACAAGCACCTTTGTCAGCAGTCGTTCAGAGACTGCGGCGGCAGTTCCCACTGCAGTGGCTGCAGAGTGATAATGCTGCAGACACTTCAGTGGACAGCTGTGCGGCAGGGAAACTGCGGCAGTGTGTGAGGAACAGTGAGCTGACTTCCGGGCCTTCAGTATTACCACTGACATTCAGAGAATGGGCCTCTGCTGGCAGGAGCGAGCAGCAACACTAGCCTGCCCTGCTACCGGGAAGGGGAGCTGGTCACTGGGCCGCACCCCACCCCTCCAGGCGCTGCTCTGGAAATAAACTCCTTTTCCTCCAAATAGCTTCTACTTCCTTTTAGCTTTTTGCCCTCTGAACTCTACCCGTCTTGGGACTTTTAAACTTGTCATTGTTCTCTTTGCTTGCACTCTTCCCTTAAATGTCCACGCAGCACTGCTTTCCCCAGGTAGCCCTCTGCTTGCCCCCTTTCCGGTAGGTCATGGGGAGTGTGAAACCTAATCCTATGACAGCAACCTCCTGAACTGGCTCAGTTTCTAGACCAACTCTAGTCATGCGCATGTGGACCCTGAAACACATCACAATACTCAGAGCCTGGAATTGTGTCCCTTCCTCTACTTTGTTTATAAAACCAGTCACAGGAGGTCCTTTTGTGCATAGCAAAGTTCACTCAAGTTTGCGGGGAGTTGGATGGGATGGTTTGCACGGTAACACAGCAAGCAACTTCAGATGGAGTATCAGATATCTTTATTTTTAAGAACATTTGGCTACTCACCTCTGGAAGATCTTATGGGCGTCACCCCCTCATTGAAAACCGTGCCTTCTCTTCCTGCTGCTATCCTCTCTCTCCCTTCCCACAACCTCTTCCTTCTCTTCCTCCTCCCACCCCTTTCCTTCCTTAGGAAGTCAAAGATTTTCTCACTCTGTTCATCTCTCTCCAGCTCCTACTCACAAACTCCAGGCCATCTTTGCAAATCTAAGCTCATCACTATGCACATCAGAATTAAAGGGTCTTTCATGTAGCAAACCCCTTCTCCTCTGACTGCAACCACATTAATAGTAATAGTTTATCTCTGTTGTAGCGGGAAAGAAAGATACAGCCTTAGACTGTGCTGCAGGGCAGCTGGTGGATCCATTCTTCTATATTCTTACAAACCCAAGAAGCCCTTCTTTTCTTAGTATGAGTTCATTATACATGATCCTGAATATAAATAAGGTGACTCCACAGGGAGAGGTTCTGGGAGATAAAGATAATTTGGCAAATGTTACTGTCATCAAAGGAATAATGTTATCGGGCCCTCAGCTGAAGGAGATAATAGCACAGGACATCTAGACAAGCAGCCCAGAGAAGACTGGCAGTGACTTGAGCATCTGTTTCCACGCTGCAAAGTCCAAAGGTGCCAGGAGTGCTGTGCCAAGTTCCCATGCCACGTGGCAGAGACTCTGTGCGGCCTGCGAAGCTCAGCACTTAGTAGGTGCTCAATAAATATGATGAGTGAATCTCCTTTGAATGGATAAGTGGTTGGCCCCACATAGTGGGTAAATTCAGCCTCAGTAGGGTGTTTTGATGGTAAACAGGCTCCAGCAGGAAAACACAGAGGAAATGACACCCAACAGAGTGTGGACAGTGTTTTCTACAGCCCAGGTAGAGAAAGAACCGTATAGGACAGTGCCAGAATGGCTGAGATATCAAACACATTTACTTTGACATTTCCTCAGGAAGAAATATATCTGGACAGGCACAGGCATGAGCAAACGTGTGCTCAATTCTTCCTCAGTGGCTCCAAACCAAAGGCATGATGGCATTTTGCTGGGATAGATTTTCAGAAAGCATGATCAAAAATTATATGTGTACTTAAATCAGGGTGGGCTCACTAAAATACTGACTTTTTTCCCCTTCTGTCTGGAATTTGAACACTTCAGTTTGGTACTACTGCTCATTCTCAGACACTGGCTGAAGCTCGGGCTTTGGAACGAGAGAGAATATGGATTCACCACTAATAGACTGTGTGATCTCAAACAGGGCATTTAATCCCTCTTAGGCTCCAGGTCTTGAGCTGGAAAATAGAGTGTCATGCAGCTGACAGAATGTTTATGGCAATAAATAGAGGTGTGTGAAAGCACTCCAGGAGAGCTCCAACGAGAGGGGCTTCCTGATAGGAAATATTTACAATATGCAACAGATAATAAAGAAATTATTCTCAGTCATTCAAATCACTGCAGTCAGAATATGTGCAAAGTGCTGTAGACACAAGCGAGCCCACCTGACCCTGCCTGAGGGGACAGGAAGGGCCTTGGGCAGAGGTGACAGGTGAGGAGAGGACTGGGGGGTGGGGGGCGGGGTACTGATTGATCCAGTGGGAAAAAGAAAAGGGCAATGAGGCAGAGGAAGCATGATACAGAAGAGCCAGGCAACCTGAACATACCTTACAGACTGGAAATAAAGTGATGTTTCATGTGGCTTAGAGAAAAGGGTGACAGTGAGTGGTGGGCAGTGGATCGTGGGCGGTGGACTGTGGGCGGTGAGCCTGGGAAGGGAGGCAAGGCCACCCTGGGATGTGTGGACAAATTGTGAGCCAGCAATGGGCACAGACATATCTGTGTTTAAAGGGAAAACCCGCAGAGTGCAGAGGATGAGCTGGAGTGGGGAGAGACTGGAGACTGGAAGATTTATTATAATTATTTAATCTAATCACTAATAGCAATAACAACTACCTTTTATGGAGCTCCCATTATCTGCCAGACAGAGTACTTGGAGAGCTTCCGCGTTTCATCCCTGATCCCCCAACCCTGTGAGGTAGATACAATCATCCCCCATTTATAGCTGAGAAATCAGAGACATAAGAAGTCAAGGAACTTGCAAGTCACGTAAGAAATAATTTCTGCAGCTGGATTTGAACCCGGATGTGTGTCAAACTCTCAAGTTTGTGCGATGCTGCTGCTCCTGGTCAATGAGCAGGTGAAGAGAGGAGTCGGACACTTGAACCAAAGGCCGGCAGTGGGGACTCTGTGGCCCTTTTCAGAGTTCTGATGGCAGCTGTCTTCCTGCCTGTTTCTTACTCACATTTGTGGCTATGGGACCTGCCCACTTGCAGGGCATTGCCCTCTCACTTGCTACCCACTCAACCCTCATACACTATATTTTGACCTCAAATACTACTCTTACTTAAACTACATCCAAATTGTGCCTCACTTCTTGGATACCATGCTTTTGCTGAGTTTTCCCTCAGTGTCTGCAGTTTAGACATTCCCTCTCTCCTGGTGAGATGCTGATGATTGTGTCTCTGTCCTCCATGTCGGATCATCCTGCAGTAAAATTTGGGCTGTACCC